GCAGCATCGCCGAGCTTATGAGAAGGGCAGTCTCCGGGACCCCCACCCCGACCCCCCCAGGCCTGCACCTAGGCTAGCGAGGTTCCCGGTGATTGGGTGCCTCGCCCCGTGGGACTGACTTGACTTAGCATCTCCCAGCCTGTGCTTCTCCATACCGTGTCCCCGCAGAGAGTCACAGCATGTGCTGAGCTGACGTAGTAAAGGCTCTGAGAAGGCCTGCACGAAGGGACCAGAGTCACTCGGTTCAGCCCCGCTTTTGCCAAACTTACTGTCTAAGTCACCCTGCTGCTCAGAGAGCGCTGGGTACCATTTCTCAGAATGAGGTGTGAGGAACAGCCCTAATGGATCCTGTAAGGAAGTGGTAATTAGCCTAATTGTCTGTTGTCAGCTTTCAACATTTAGGTCTGTGGATTTAATTACATTGGTTGCATATGCAGAAAAAGTACAGGTCGGCACAGAACCTCCAACACCACTACGTATTCGGTTAAAAAAAAAAAATCCCCGCCCTCGGGGGAGGCAGGAAGAACTCGGGGCTGCACTGCCCACAGCGAGGGCGTAGGCCAGTGCTTTCTAACCCCCGGGCCTGCTGGGGGATCAGCGCCTCAGAGATGCTGGGTGACACCCCGGTACCTCACAGGGCCCAGGGGACCGGCGTACACCTGACAGTGCCATTCACCCCCTTGAACCTGGCGAGCAGCACAACCTCCGTTGGCAATGGACTGAATATTCTTAGACCCCATTGGAGACAAGGCCTGGCTGTTAGTAAATGTAAGTCTAGTTGGGGGTCCCTGACGCACTGGGGGCTGGTGCTGAGACAGCCCCTGCAGGAGGTTAACTGTCCCTCACGTGCTGGCCTGGGGCTTGCATCTCAGGAGGGAAGGAGGCAGGCTGACCTCCTGAGTGAGCCTGGCGGTCCCCCCGCTCGGGGTGCGCTGAGCACTGTGCCAGGCATGCCATTGGGCTTAAAAGCCACCCGTCCCGAGAGAGAGAGAGAGAGAGAGAGAGAGAGAGAGAGAGAGATGATTAGGAATTTATTTTTATTTTTTTAAAATTAACCTACAGTAGAATTGACCTTTTTTGGGGTGTACTCATCTGTGAAATTTAAGACATTATATCATGTAACCACCCCCCGATCTAGATACAGGACAGTTTCAGCAGCCTGAGAAATGTTATAGTCACACTATTTTTTTAAAAAAAATATTTGTATTGATTTCCGAGAGGAAGGGAGAGGGAGAGAGAGAGAAACATCAGTGATGAGAGAGAATCATTGATCGGCTGCCTCCTGCACACCCCACACTGGGGATCGAGCCCACAGCCGGGGTACGTGCCCTGACCGGGAATCGAACCCCAACCTCCTGGTTCATAGGTTGATGCTCAACCGCTGAGCCACGCCGGCCGGGCGATAGTCACACTATTGCTTCCGTTTTAAAAAATGGTAGTAAGAACGTTAAGGTGACCCTTGTAGCCCGTGTGTCAGTGCACAGCAGTGTGGTCAACACGGGGCAGAGTCGGTGAGCAGGTCTCTAAACTGACGTGTCCTGTGTGACCGAAACCTCAGAGCCGTCGAGCAGCATCCCTCTTCCCCGGCCCGACACCCTCGGTTCCACTTCTGTCTCCGTGAGCCTGACTGCTTCAGATGTGTCCTGTCAGCGATGCTGTGAATATCGTCCTTCCGTCACCTCGCACACCGCCCTCCGGGTTGATCCGTGTTGTATGTGGGAGGGGTTCCTTTGTCTTCAGGCTGAGTGTTACCCCCTTGTATGTGCATATCACAGTGTCACAGTCAGGTTGCTTCACGTTACTGCGAATAATGCTGCAGTGAACATGGGCTGCCTGTATGTCTGCAAGGTCCCCATTTCAGTTCTTTTGGATAAAAACCCGGTTATGGGGTTCCTGGGTCATCTGGTAGCTCTATTTTTAGTTTTTGAGGGGCCTGCAGACCGTTTTCCACCGGCAGGACACAAGGGTTCCCTTCTCCCCACAGCCTCGCCAGCAGTTGTCGTTTTTGTTCATGTTGACGGCAGCTCTCCTAGCCGGTGTGAGGTGACATCTCATTGTGGCTTTTACTTGCTTTTCCCTGGTGACTAGTGATGCCGCATCTTTTCATATGCACGTCGGTCACCTGTGTGTCTCCTCTGGAGAAATGCCTATTCAAAACTTTGCCCAGTTTTTCACTGTTTTTGGTGGGGTTTTTTTGGTCTGTTTTTGCGCTATGCAGTTGAAGGAGCTTCTTGTATATTTTGGATAGTAACCCCTTTTCAGGTTTATGGGTTTCATAAAGAGCAGTTTTTCACTCTGTTCATTGTTTCCTTGATGAATTCCGTTTAGAAGCAGGGAGCCAAGGCCGGAAGTGACTGGCCCAGGGCAGGCCTCTGGGAGGTCAGGACGGGGACTGGAACGTGGTGATTCCTGAGCCAGGCGCTTCAGCAGTTTCGGCCCTGCCTCGCTGATACCTGCCTCGCTGATGCCTGGCCGTTGCTGATTTTCATGGCTTCCCCCAGGCCTTCCCTCCTCACCACCAGCCGCTGACATACAGAATTTCACCAAAACATCCCTTGAGAACTGTGTGGGCCACGTGACTCGGGGGCTGCTGTGATGTCCTGCGGGTCCAAGCGTACATTCCTTGTGTGGAGACAGTGTCTCCAGATCCTCAGGGGAACGTGTTCCGTGCTGGGCTGACCCTGGCCGCCTCGGAACGGACCTCCTATTGTGCTTGTTCAGCCAGTCTGTCTGGATTCGGATCCCTTCCCCGTGTTGACCCGCCGTGGGACCCTGGACAGGACACCGCCTCTGTGAGCCTCGGTTTTCCTCATCTGCATATTGGGTGCTCACCCTTTCCTAGCCTGGTTCCTGCGAGCCTGCATGAGATGGGCTTGTGTGGATGCCGGACAGATGTGCTTAGAAAATGGGATTGTGTGTGGCTCAGTGGATAGAGCATCGGCCTGTGGACCAAAGAGTCCTGGGTTCGATTCGCTCAAAGGGCACGTACCTTGGTGGCAGCTCCTCCCCGGCCCTGGTTGGAGCACGTGCAGGAGGCAACCTATCAATGTGTTTCTCTCACATCGATGTTTCTCTCTCTTTCCCCTCTCTCTCCCACGCTCTAAAAGGTCAATAGAAAAATATCCTCGGGTGAGGATTAACAAAAAAATAAATAAAAATATAAAAACAAATAAAAGAAAATGGGACTGTATTTGCCTCCTTCTGGCCTTGCCCGGCAGCATGTGCCTGAGCTCCTCACCTGGGAGACATCAGCAGGGGCCTCGGGCACGTGGGCGTGCTGAGACCAGGGTCTCTGGGGTTTGCAGGGCCGGTGACGTGCTCACGTGGGACCCCCGGGAGGTTAGACCTGGAGCCGGGCTCCCCTCTCTAAGGGGCACCTGCCTGGTGACTCCAGACAACAACCCAGATGCCCCAGGGCCCAGGGAGGCGCCGCGGTGGGCAGGGAGGGGCGGCTGCCGACCAGCTCTGTGGCTGGTTGCCTGCCGGCAGAGTCCCCAGCTTTTCAGGAAATGTGACTATGATTAGCAGCCGCTTCCAGTTTCATTTTGAACATCATGTTGGGCCAAACCAAACCTTACTGAGGACTGATGACGACCTGCGGCGGGCGGTGTGCGGCCTGTGTCACAGGCTGGCCAGGTGCACAGGACGCGGGCAGATCCGCAGACGCCTGGGATTGGCTGTGGGCATGGACTTGTGGCCGAGGCAGAGGAGTGAGGGGCTCGGGTGTGGGCAGAGGCAGCCTGGGGCTCCCTCCTCCCGACGGCGCTGGGATGGCACCGCCAGCTCTGCCACTGGACCTGACGTTCATCTTCAGCCAAAGCCCGGTCTGAGTGACGCCCCCCTCGCTCCAGGTCCTCGAACACCTTCAGCCTCCGGGGACTTCCCAGGGCCTGCATGGTTGCAGCCGTGCCCACCGTAGTGCCCACCTGTCCAGTGGCCGGCTAAGGTCCTCCTGGACTCCCTCAGTCCATCCTCGCATCAGGTAGGACCCCGGTGTTCTCCCCATTTAACGTGATGAGGGTGCAGGGCACAGAGATGGGGCGGGACTTGGTCAAGGTCCCCCAAACCACGGATGACATCACTGAGACCCGGGCGCTCGCTAGTGATGCCAAAGGCTTTCTTATTAACCACACACTTGTGCCCCGGAGCCTTATCGCCTTGATTTCCTGGGGCCTCTTCACAGATACCAGCTGCCACCTACTGAGCCGTGTTTATAGTTTGTTGACCATTTCCTGTGTCGTGTGTGTCTTTGTGGGCAGCGCTTCCCGCCATGTGCCTGCCAGGGAGCAGGCAGCGGGGTGCAGCCCTTCCTGTGGGGGCTGCCATCCTGCCCTTTCTCAGCCCGTCTCTGGAGCCCCCATCCACAGGCCAGGCGCTGGCAGGACTGTTGGGGTCCTTCGTTCACTGAACATATTTATTGAGGGCCTACTGTGTGCCAGGCACTGTTCTAGAAGCCGGGGGTATAACATTGAGCCAAACAGGCAACTCCTGCCCCCAACCTCGTGGGACTTCTGTTTTAGTTTCAGTATTTTGCTTCTCTTTCTCTCTCTCTTCCCCCTTTTTTAAAAATTAAATGCAGTTTTAATTTTGGGAAAACTTGGATTTACAGAAAAGTTGTAAGGATAGTACCGATCCCCCATCCGGTTTTCCCCATGGTTCACAGCATACGTTCCCACGTTTGCCACCACTAAGAAACAGATGTTGGTACATTATTATTATTATTATTATTATTAACTGAACTCGTGCTGGACTTGGATTTTACCTGTTTTCCGCAGGTCAGATCCAATCCAGCAGCCCCACTGCGCTCACTGGTCACGTCTCCCCGGGCCCCTCGGGTCGGGGAGAGTTCTGGCTCTTCCCGCCCTTGGCATCTTGGGGAGCACGGCCCAGGCATCCTGCGGAATGTGCCCCGGTCTGGGTTTGTCCAGTGTCTCCTGCTAATTAGGCCGGGTTGTGGGTGGCGTGCCCTTCCCAGCGCATCCCGACACCCACGTGACCTCATTGGTGGCCTTGACCTTCAGCACCAGGTTCAGGCAGCCTCGCCAGGCAGCCCCCTGTGTCGGTGCTCTTTCCCCACCTGTAAACGGGCCGCCCCCAGTGAAGTGGACCCCCAGCGTCTATAGTCCCCGTGCGGCTTCACGTGACTTAACCGCCTCTTTCCGCTCCGCTGGTGCAGGGCCCCCGGGGGTGGGCACCGTGTGTCACTGCTGAGCGGGGGCCCGCCTGGCTCTGAGTGGTCTCACTCCCTCCCCACCCAGTGTTTCCATTGCACCCCGAGCCTGTGAAAGAAAAGGCAGTGGCAAGGCCCATAGGAGCCTTTCGTGAGAGAAGGCTTGAAAGGACTAGATGCGTTTCACCCAGCATGGGGGGTGTTTTAACGAGTGTGCTCGAGACCTGTCCCAGAGTCTTTAGGCCCCTTAGGTAGACAGAGCGGCGGGTCATCTGTGGATCCAGGAGGTGGCTCTTAGCTCTGGATGAGCCAGCATCTCCCCACCGTCTCCTTGTGCTAAAATCTCTCCCGCTCTCACCAGCCGCAAGCAGCACCTCCTCCGAGAAGCCCTCCCTGTTCTTCCGGAGGGGCGATGCTCCCCCAGCTGCACCCGGCTTTCCCGGAGCCCTCCAACCGTGCTGCCCCTCCTGTACCCATCTGGCTCTGTGCCATGTACCTCCCTTGCTCCCTTCCTGTCTTACTCGCTGGGCTCCAGGCCATGAGGTCACAACCCAGCCAGGGACTGGCACACAGTCAGGGCAGGGCAATCCCTGGGTGAGGTGCTCAGCGGAGGCTGCGTGGCACTGAGGCAAAGCAAGGGATGTGAGCGTGTTCAACAGTCCTGGGTTCGAGTCTCAGCCACTCCTTCTTAGTTGTGTGGTGCTGGTAAGACGCTTGGCCCCTCTGGGCCCTGGTTGCCTTAATGAAAGTCAAGCCAAATAGTAAATACTAGCAGTGCCTGGCTCCCAGGACTGTCATGAGGATTAATTGAGCTCATCGCTGCAAAGCCCTTAGGACTGTGCCTGGCATCTGTTAGGAGCTTAGTAATTATTTGTTACAGAATAAAGCACCAGAAATCATAGGAGATTTCTGGATTGGCCGGAAATTGGTCTCGAGATGCCTCCTTAGATTAGCCTAAGTCAGCTAATTCCCATGAACCTGAAACCTCAGTGATTTAACGCAACACAAGTTCATTTCTCGCTCACGGACAGCTCCACGGTGGGCGGGGATGCTCTGCCTGTTGCCTGTCCCCGGGGACCCAGGTTCTGTCCGTCCTGTGGCTCTGTCTGCCTCCAGGGTGTGCTCATGGCCTGGCAGAGGGTCGGGGGGAGAAGGGAGGACAGAGGGTTGGGTGGAGGGTTAGAATGTGGCGCCATCGTGTCTGTTGCTGAGCTGGGACCTGGCCTCACCCTGTTCCAGGAGCGGCCGGGAGATGGGGTCCAGGAGGAAGAGAAACGGGGGGCTTGACGCGTGCGTCACCTGAGTCGGTTTTCAACCTTCTGGTACCATCTTCAGACTTTCGGGGCCTATTTCTAAACAAAGCGGGCTGTTTACTTAGTCATTTTTCTTTAAACGATTCCGTTTTTTTGAAGTTAACATTTCTATGTAGAAAAGATCACTTTATAACATCTTTGAAAATGAGAAAGTAGTACCGTCTGCTGCAAATAGATAGAAATCATGGCAGGTTGTGAGGCTGTGAGGTCGCCGCTAGCCGGTGCCTGCCGGAACCGCTGCGGCTGTGACCAGCGGGCTACTAGCCAGCGCTGGAGAGCTGAGCGGCGAAGACCAGGTTGCCTCCTGCCCTGAGACTTTCCCTTGGATGTCCTCGGCGTTCTCAAACGAGAACCCAACAGGGACGACCCCCTCACTGTGACGTCTGATGTCACTTAACCAGCAGGTCCCCATCCTGCCCTGAAGTCACCCCACGTCCCGCCGGTGGGTGGTGTGGGTGCCGTGCTTTGGGAAACGCTGGCGTAGGGAGCAACCAGCACACACAGACAAATCCAGATCCCGGTGCAGCAAGGAAAGGGGGTGAAAATCGCCCTTTCCCCTCGGAGCCCTCGTCACTTTACAGTTTGCGAGGGAGGAATTAAGGGTGCCACTTCACCGAAGGGGAAACTGAGGCCCAGAACGGGGCATGCTGTGTCCCCTCTCCCCACGGGTGCACCACAGTCTTGAGCGTTCTTTCCGCTGTCCTGGCTGTTGCCTGGCCTGGGCAGGCTTCCTGCCAGGGGTGCGGCCACACGGACGTGGTCGTGTGTATTCACACCGCTCCTCCCATCTCCCTGTCCCCGTTCCCATCACCTGCCGGGTCCCCAGGAAAGGCGGTCCTGGGCGTGCTTGGGAACTTGCTGCCCATTTGCTGGCCCCGTGGGTGACACAAGATGCCCTGTTCTGGGTGACAGCATCCGTGGGACTGCTCGGCTGGTGCTGTTGAAGGGAGGGCTCCCCAGGTGTCAGGTTTGTCTTCCTGACATTGTTTTGTGCTGCTTGACTCTGGGTGGAGCTCAGTGATTTGTTCTCTCCTGCACTTCCCATCCACCCCAAGTTACACCAGCACCAAGCCCCACCCTTTGAAAATACGCCGGAGGAGGCCCCGGATCTAAAGGTATTGTCATTGCTGCTGTGGGGACAAAGAGTTTGAGGCTCAGGGAAGCGGGGAGTTTGTGTATTCATTCATTCATTCATCCATCCATCCATCCATTCAGAGATTTATTGGGGAGGTTTTCAGGGACAAAACAAGGAAGAAAGAGGCAGGAAGGGAGGGGCCGGTCAAGTCAGAATCAGATCCGGAGTCTGCTCCCCCGTTCCCCCCAGACCTTCTACCTCCCAAAAAAGAGTTTGGAGCCCCAAGTGAGATGAGACTCTCCTCATGATCTGGCGAGCGGTGCAACTCCACCCAGATTGGGGGCTTTGTTGCCATACCTCTATGTTGGGAGAATGTTTCCAGATTTCTCCTAAGGGTGTAAGAGAGGAGTTGATTCCTTAGCGGTGGGAGTGGGACATGTTTCCCCTGGACTGTGCCCGAGGAATCGGGACATCAGCCAGGTCTCGGGCCCTGGCCACAGGAGCAGTGAATGGCCAGCTGCCTGTCCGAGTGGGAGTGACCAAGTCACCCCCATCCCCGCTAGCTCCACGGGCTTGGAATGGCACATTAGCCCCAGCATCGGAGGAAGCCGGGGGGAAGGAGACACCTGACATTCCACCCCCAACCCAGCCTGGGGTTTACGCCTGACTGTTTTCATTTTGAGGAAACAGAGGCTCAGAGAGGTTGAGGGCCTGGCCCAGAGTCACACAGCTGGCGAAGTAACAGAGCCCAAGCCTTAGACTCGAGACGTCCTCACCCCCAGTGAGTGACACGCTCCGATGGCGCCCCTGTCCCTGGCAGTCCGGGTGCGCCCGTCTCTCAGCTTCAGTGAGCAGGTGTCCTCTCTAGAACCGGCAGGTTTGTTTTCCTTCTTACCTGGCCCGGGGCTGCCCCACCCCCACCCGCAGTCGGTCCAGGTGGCCTGAGGTGGGCCTGGGAATCACCGAGCAAGTGTTCTCAGTGACTGGCAGGATCAGGTGCGTGGCGGAACCCTGAGCAAGGGCATCTCGTTATGACTCAAGTGTAATCCTGGGACCCAGCGCCACAGATCCTCAATGACTGAGTACGTTGCATGAACGCATCGTCTTACAGGACTGGAGTTTAGGAAGCCCTTCGGAGATGGTGTGTTGTAGGGTAATGGCTTTCTCTGCAGATGAGCAAACTGAGGCTCAGAGGGTCAGGCAGCTGGAGAGGGAGGGGTGGCAGGAACGCGGCGCCCGAACGTGAATCCCGTACTTTTCCCTAGTTCACCGCAGGGCGCGTCTGCATCTTGGTGAGTGTCAGGTCCTCAGAGCCCTCCCGGGACACTGACACGACCG